AGCTGCTTCTTTTGCATAGATTTCTAACCATGTATCAAGGATTTTTCAAATGATGTAGTTCCATGAACAAACTTGCTTTCCCTCACTCTCTACACGATGTACTGTCCAAAAWTAGTTTTCTCATAGCATAGCAAGATATTATTGATTCACTTCGAAATCGAGCAGTAAGTTATTGTCTACTCGATCACTGGACGCAAATCAAATATAGCAGTTGATTCTTCGAATGCTGCCGACAAGCTAAGTYAGYCATTCGGTTTYAATGAAAATCGTTTTTGTGCTTGCTCATCTGGATGGCCATTTTCCGCGCTTCCTCCATGTTGGACGGGAGGACGTTTCGGATCTCCATTCCGGGGTCCGCTGCAAACGTGTAGATAAATTTGTTCGATAGCTTGGCGGAAGCTTGTTCCGGTTCCACGACCCATGCCGAWACCTCGATCGAGATCACGGGCACGTCCTTTTGGCCTTTGTARAAGTTGAAATTCCGGAGCTCCTCGTGGACGTCTGCGTGAATGACCTGCGCCGAAAAGTTGGTGAGGTCACCCACGCTCACKGGGATGGTGAATGCGACCTGGTCGACCTCTAGGAACCTGGGACGGCGTCCCGCAAAGACATAGGCCGTGGCGTATGCCAGGTCAAAGGCCCGCCGCATCAAGAATCCACCGAATATTTGGTTTGCCAGGTTCGCGGTTTGCGGCTGGGCYAGTTCGCAGTTCTGCAGCTTGGTTTGCTCCATCAGGATCGATTTGGGGTTGGCGAGACTGGGAATGTTCTTCAGCGGTCCKGCCTCGCGCAGCAGTCCCACCGCCACCTTTTCGATCTCCGGGTCGAGGGGGGTTTCGAAGTTTTTCAGCTTTTTTCGCCCCTCCTTTCGCAGCTGGGCACGTCGCGCCCCGGCCTCGAACTGGTCTTTTTCGAGCCACGTCTGTGGATCGAGGGGCGGGATTCTCATTGGTTTCTTCTCGCTGTCGACGGCAACGAAGGTAAAGTAGGCTGCCAGCGATGTAAACGCCAGTGAATGGGTCGAGTGGAGCAGGGTAGAACAGTGGTGAACAGATGGACAGATTTTTTCGACGTACAATACTCGGWTTTCCAAACACAGTTGCAGCAGATCTAGAAGCCTATAGAAAACAAAACAGACACAAACCTACCTTCCATCCACGGGTCGTCGTCTCCGAATTGTTTGCATTGCATCCGGATTTCCATGGAAGAAGTTCCCACGTAGGTCACCTTTCCGCTCAGTTGTTGGCTCTTTTCCAGCTGGACGATGCCCGACAGCCGAATCCGGTCGACGCTCGCCGTGACGATGTTCACTCCMGGATCCTGGACGTGGCTGTAGGCAATGTTCCCCGCCAGCGCGTCCAAATCTTCCAGCACCTTGCCGAAGCGCAGGTGGCCGAACGGGTTGCGATACCGCTCCATCAAAAACTCGTCGTTCTCAAAGTCGTAATCGATCTTGGTGATGGATTCGGAGGGCGGTCTCGGGCGGTCCATGTCGATGGCTTCGCCGGAGGCCGCGGCCTTTTGTTTGGCCTCGTTTCTCAGATCCCACAGCTGATTCACGATGGGCCCCTTGAATTTGCTGGCGTGTTTCACGGGTGGCGGCTGCGAGTAGTTGGAAGACGCGGCCTCGCCGGAGGACGACGAAAAGCTCCGCCAGGCCTCGCACGGCTCGGGCTTCGGCGCCCCCCCGGCGACRCGMCGATGGGAACCCGAATGACCGAAACAGCGAATGCGAAGCCCGYTGGGGGCTCTGCCGAGGGACCCGAACATTAATTTTTTCGCGGTCGATGCCATGCTTGGAAGCCGATGGATTTGGTTCAATCAATGCGGGAGTTTTCTGTGAATGGATCGAAACAGCGACTGCCTGCGATGCCAGCACCTCGCTTTTYGGTAGACGGTGATTGTTTGCGGCGGATCGATACTGTATTACTACTGCATAGTGAGTTGGGAGTCGTTTTGAAGTTTGGAATGGTACGTCGCCGGTGATTTTGTTTCTACTACTTTTCTAGTAGATACCGTACTGTATCACTTTTTCTCGAAAAATTTAAGCCGAACGAACTGAGAGCGACACCGGCGAAGAATCAAAATCTATTCTCAACGATCGTCAGCGTGTTGCTACTAGTAATGCTCTATCGATGTACCGTACGGTACGAGCAGGGGTCATAGAAAATACTTTTATCGATGTACACGTACGAGTACGTATTCGTACTCTATGATACTGAAAGTACTTCTTTATGATACGTATGTACCGTACAAGAAGKGACGAGGATGATAACCGGAATGACCCAATTGTGATGTGCTGCAGTACGTACTACGAAGTAWTTCGTACATCACATCATCAATACCATCACCAGGGGCTACAACCACTAGTGCCGTACTGCTTACTTTCCTTTTTATGATGTCTCACCACTATTAGCACTAGTAGTAGTAGTATTGGTTTTGGTACAGCTTTCCTTCCACAAAACCAAGTGCGCGACAAATATCCCCCAGTTTTTGGCACTATCAAGAAGCAACAACAAGAACAACAAGCAAATGCATGGACGACGCCGGACGAATGGTTCCRATCGATGGGTTGTTTTCAAATCCATAGTCTATTACGTTTATAGCACGGTRTGCAATGCCGCGCGGTGTACCGTAGAAAGCCGTATCGCATCGCATCGCATTGCACCAGCCAGCGCACCCGGAGGCCAGCGGACCACAACCGTCCGCTCCTTGGTACCGTCTTTTGCGTTGCGTTGCGTTGGCGCCGGCGTCCGCCTACGACAGGGCCGCCAGCTTTTCGTCGAGCTTCTTCATGTTGCCCTCCATGGCCGCAATGTTCTGGGCGATGGTGGTCTCGAGGGTGGCCATGCCGGCCTCCAGCTGTCCGATGGTCGCCTCCACCTGGGTGGCCTCCTTCTCCAGCTCCGAGAGCCTGCTTCCAAAGGTGGACGCCTGCTGGTGCAGGCCGCTGAGCTGCCGGAGGCGCTCCACGAGGTGGGGCAGGTAGTTTCCCAGGCCCTCCAGGTCGATCATCTGCTGGTAGAGCTGCTGGATCATCTTCGAGTCCTCCTTCTTGTAGGTGGCCGTGAGCTTGTTGCGGGCCTTGCTGGCCGCCTCCAGRTCGGCCCGGATGACCTTTGCCTTGGTGGCGGTCTTTTCGAGGGTCGAGGCGTCCACGGTCGCCAGCAGCTGCTCCATGTCCTCCAGCCGGTGGAGGACGGACTTGTAGTTGCTGGAGGAGACGGTGGAGGAAGGGCCGGCCTGCGAGGACGACGACGACGAGGCCTGCTGCTGGTGCTGCTGGGAATCCCCCAGGACCCGCTCCAGGTTCAGCAGGCGTTCCTCGAGGGTCGTCGTGGGGTTGGAGGCGTTTCCGTACAGCTCGTAGACGAGGCCGGTGGYGGGCAGTTCCTCCGGAGCCGGCTCCGGCGCCCCCGCACCCCTTCCGCTCCCCCCCATCTCCTCGAGCTGCTGGCGGATCCGGCGGGTCAGGTCGTCCTGGTCGTTCGCGTGCGCCGAGGAGGCCGCCGCCAGCCGGTGCTTYAGGTCCGTTGCCAGCTTGACGATCTCCTCGTCGAAGGCCCTGCCGCCGTCCGAGGCTTTCGCCGTTGCCGCCAGCTCCTCCTCCAGGGCGCCGACCTCCTGCTGCAGGCGGGCCAGCCGGGCGAGGGGCGGGAGGGAGGCCCCCTGTTCGGTGGTGGCTCCCGCAAAGGCCGGCACCGAGGGGACCACCGAGGCGTTGTAGACCCTGCCCTGGAAGACCTCAAAGGCCGCCAGGGGGGAGACCTGCTCGCTCGACAGGACGGCCTCGGAGCCGCTGTCGCCCGCGGCTTGCTGCTGGACGACGRGGGGGGGCTTGGACACGCCGGAGGGGGCCACGCCMGCGTCGGAATAGATCACCTCTCCGTTGTGCGACTCTTCCACCGAGTGGTCTGCCGTGGGGGGTTCGGGGGTTGCCATGGTGCCTTGGGTTGTGTTGGGTTTTGTTGGATTGGGTTGGAGCTGTTCTGGAGGCGGGGCGGAGTGGATTGGAATGGATTGGATTGGAATGGAATGGAATGGATTGATTTAGACTCGGGTGAAGCGAAGCTAGGCGACGGGCGCGATTGATCGGAGGACAGTGGGAAAGGGATGCGAACCCAAACGCTCTTTGCACAAAGCGAGGACAAGGGCAGGTCGATGCCGACAAACTAAACTGTTATCCGGCACGGTGGTGTTGTGCTGTCATTTTACGGCTTTGTAACCCTGGGAAGGTCGAGCTCTGGAAGAAATACCCCCAACGCAGTATGTAGTAGCACTCGTACGTACTACCCGTACAAGCATTTGTACGTAACGTATTCACGGTACGGTAAAGCAGTACGTTTCCGCACAGTTCAATCGCACCGTACACGCGCAAGAAAGGTTGCGTGTTATTCCTTCGTTGTACGGTATGATACCTACGTTTCCTAGGATAAGACCAGTACCGAGCGAAGGACGGAACTAAACCGTACCGTGGTAGGTAGGTAGATGGATTGATTCATTCGTGCTCGTACCGTACAGTACAGTACGTACCTTACGGTACTCCGGCCAACGGGTCGAAACACAAACAAAACCAAGCAGCAACGCAACGCGACGCAACACAACACCCACACCGTCGCCGTTTGCCGCTCACCCGCTGTGCGATCGATCTCGTCGGGGGCACCCCAACAGCAACAAACAAACACAGCAGTCGAGTCGAGCGACCATCGCCATCCCCAACAGCAGCAGCGGCGTCCCACCGGCAGCAGGAGAGGGCGGTCCCGGATTCGAGCCGACCGAACACAGAAACAGGCAGGCAGGCAGGTCGTTGCGTTTCGCTTCGCTTCGTTTCGTTCTCTGGCGGAATTAAGACGAGCGCCATCCGCATCAACGCAACGCAACGCACGAGCAGCTCGAAGAGAAGGCGGAGGCATGAGCAGCCACGGCCGTTCCCGCGCCTCCGGCGGGCACGACCGGCGCCACCGCTACGGTGACCACGAAACCGACGAACACCGCAGCGAAACCGCGGAGCGGTACCGGGAGCGGAACCGGCGGGCCGACCGGTTGCACCGCGAGCGCGAAAGAGAACGGCCGGGGAACCGCGAAAGCCGCCACCGCAACGACGACGACGACGACGACGACCGCGAGGCCAAGAAGCGGAGGCTCGCCGCCGACCGGGAGGAGCGCATGGCCCGGCTCCGGGACCAGCTCCGGAAGGAGGACGAGACCCTGGCGGAGCTGGACCGCAAGCAGGCCGAAACCGAGGGAGGGGCCGCCGGATCCAAGACCAGCGGGCCGACCGAGGCCGTGGTCGAGGTSCGCCCGGGGGACCTCGAGGGGCTGGACGAGGAGGAGCAGATGAGGAAACTCCTGGGCTTTGACGGCTTTGGGTCGACCAAGGGAGAGGCGGTGGAGGACAACCACTCCACGGCCGCGAGGGGAGGGGCGGCCAAGAACAAGGCGAGAAAGTACCGGCAATACATGAACCGAAAGAGCGGTTTCAACCGGCCGCTGGAAAAGATGAACTGAGCCGGCCGGAGCTACCGGTGCGGGGCAGCGGTGGCGCCCGTGGACGACACTCGGCGGATGCCCACCAATCCGAGGCARCACTCTGTCAGTATAACATTTCCGCTTAGATAATTTTAAAAACAMAATGATAAAGAACTACAGTGCCCATCTATTYCTTTCGTTTCGTTGTGGCTCCCAGCGCGGTGCGCCCGACRCCAACGAMTCAGACGTCGACCTTCATGTGCGCCACGCTCTCGCTCAGCAGGGGGGAGAACTCCGACAACCGRACCCCGGAGCTCCGGTTCCGCTGGCTGGCGGACAGCGACTGGCTCGCGTTCGCCGCGGCCACCTCTTCCGCCAGGATCTCCTCCGGGGTGACCTCCGGGTGGAGGCACCACCAGAATCCAAAGGGGGAGACCAAAAAGTTGCTCGCCGCTTTCCCGTCGATGCCCTCGCCCTGTAGCGCGAGCTCGAGGCCCTCGTCCAGCCAGCTCAGGAGCACCAGCAGCACGGCCAAACCGCAAAGCACCCCCATCAAACCCAGGTCGCTCTGCACCAGCGTCTGGATGTATCCACCCCGTCCGTAGATTATTGCAATGGTGATGCCCACCACCGCGATGGTTGCCAATGTCTGTAGAACGTATGCTCCAACGAACAAGGCTCGGTCTTTGGGCTCTATCGGAACGCGTTTTATGTGCATCGATTTCGTGAACATCAAAGATAATAGAACGGCTGCACGCACGCAACACAGAAAAAAAAAACCGTAACATACATCGAGGTTAGATTGGCGTTCGGCACAAAACATTGTTCGGTGCGAAAACAAGGACGGCACGCGGCAGCACGTACCAGCAAAGCCGGCACACACCATGGCCTTGTCGTTTCCCGGGAGCGCGGCGGTGGCCGCGAGATAGTGGTGCGTGAGCAGATTCAAACCACTCCCCAGGATCGTTGTGGAGAACAGGAGGGCGAACTGGCCGACGCTAAAAAACGCGGCAGCGGTGCGATTGACCAACATCGCGTGGTCCGACGCGAGGGTATTGGCATCGTCGCAGTACAGCAGTTTGATGCAAAAGAGCAAGAGGCAGGTGCTCCCAATGAACGCATACTGTTGCCAATCGGGATTGTCGAACTCGAAAAAGTCTGTGGCAACCACTACAACGCTTTGCAGCATGAACCCGAGCAGAAGGATGAACAGGACTCCCCGTTGAGAATTTGCAGCTTTGGGAGTCATTGTGGTTATTTCAAATGCAAAGAGGCAACGGTCGGTCAGTAAAACAAATATTTAGGTCGACCGAAAAGCACGTAAAATAAACACAAAGAACAATAGAACTACCACGTGTGGATACGCACCGTAAAAATCGTTCGATAGGATCAACCGGGGAACCCTCAACGCCATTACGACACCCACCAAAAAGACCACCCAGCGATACGACGGAGACACTACGAAGATACCAAGAATCCACGTGGTGGCTTCGGTAAAGTTCATAATGACGTTGAATATGGCGTACTGTTTGACGTTGTACTCGACGGAATTGTCTCGCTGGGCGTCCATGTACCACCACAACACGCGGACCATCAAGCAGAAATGCGTCGAGGTGCAAAACGCGGCCATCATCATGATGCGGACGCCGCCCTCGGAATCCATGGGAAGCGACACGCTCAGGCTCGCAAACAAGACGGCGAAACACGTCAGGAGCGTCTTSAGCTGCGCCGACAGGTCGGTGGTATCGAACCGGGTGGCGTAGGACGTCTCCTTCTCCCAGATGGTCCAAAAGACGGCAAAATACAGGAGGTGTTCCAGTGTCACTCCCCTGTCGCTGGTGATGACCAACCCAACGCGCGTAAACGCCGTCACGATGACGAGGTTCAGGAACATGTCGCTCAGAGAAATCGCGTCCCGCTGTCTCGTCCGCTGCGTGTCGGTCACGTTGCGCTGGATCTCGGGCAGGACCTGCGGSGCACGCCACAGCCCACCCTCGTACCAGAGCTGGTTTCGATACTCGGCGTGTTCTTCCAGCCGGCCCGTGTCCTTGCGGATACGTTTCAGTTCTTCGGCCAGCTTCACCAGCGAAAGATACAGCTTGCGTTTTCCCGCTTTCTCCTTCTTGATTTCTTCCTTGTAATAGGAAGTATCCTTGGTTCTTTTTTTCGCAGAGGACGTCATTGCTAATTTTTTAGTTGGTTCGCCGGGTTGTTGTCTCCCTCTTCAGTTGGATCCGTGGGTTGTTTTTTTTCGGTATTGGAACGTGATAGAGAAATGCTTTACTACAGTGTCGCAGCGAGTAAGATTTGTTCATTCTTCACAGGTCACAATTCACAATGCACCTTGACGTTCTTCGCACTTGTGGAAGCAGCGAAGGGAGAGGAATCAAAGGTTTTTGATTGATTCAGTCAGAATCGGGAACGACTCGTCATGATCTTTGATCTTCGAATTTTTTTAAATCATTTTTCTTTTTTTGGTGACGGTAAAAATGAAAAATAGATGGGTCGAAGGCATTGGAACACGGCACGCTTTCGAGACCTGACATCTGCTCATGATCCGAACATCATGCATCATGTACGTATTACGTACTAGTACCAGTACTTGGAGTACAAATTGTACTGATTATTTGCTACAGTACTTATCGTACATCTGTACGAGTACTCGTACAAGCATGGGATTGAACTCGGATACCGTTACAATTCTTTACAATTCTCGAAACAAACATTTCGGTAAAGTACGATACGGGATGAATTAAAATTTCTATTGTTTTCTGATGTACGTACAGTAGACGCACGTACCGTACCGTACTGCAAGAATCAGTCACAGACGTCGTCGGACACGAGCAGCACTACAGTATTGAGGGGAAGTTTGGGGGATGTACAAAAATTTTAGTTCATTTTAAGGTGAGGAGGACGAAATCGCAGGAATATTAGAACGCGCCTTTTTGTTTTTARAGATACTATAYTTACGGTTGATCACAGTACTACTARTATACTCACATGAAAAAACGTTCACTTCCTGTTTCTTAGGTTTTGCTTGGCGCACCGAAAACACTTTCSTACACGTTTGTCATMTCATGCCTAAGTTAAAGCGCACGTCTCACATACCTCAGGGAAAATTCCAACGGGCAAGAGAAAATTCSATTGACTWGMGGAATGATAAGTCCTGGTGCATGTCAGATATGGTACCTAAGAATACAATCAAGTGGCGGTTTGCATTAATGAAAGAATATAACGTTTGTATCCACTCACTCGATCTTAGAAGTAGTGGATGAGTTGAAATCACCATGGCACTCCAAACAGGAGTATTCCATACGGCGGGTGCTGGGGTTCTACGATTCTTGATACTAKTGGTGACAAGTTTGGTAGTGGCTCTGGCATTCTTCCTCGGAGGTGCTGCCGCTGAACACGGGAGCCCCAGGGGGTGTTCGTTGTGTCCAGATGGAGGCGAAATCGAGTTCCCCRATGCACCCATACCGTTCTWTGCGCTTCCCACCGCGGACAATCCCACCTGCGGCGATCTKGCGTTTCTAGCTTCCATGGTGCCACACGACAGCATTCGTTGCACCGAAGACTTGCAGCYCCACGCTGGATACTGCGGRTGCCCAAATGTAGAGCAATCCAATATTTGCTCGTTCTGTCCGGATGGCGATGCCCCGGATCGACCCGATCTTACATTACTGATGGGAGATACATGCGAAAGTCTGTACAGATACGTGTCCTTTTTCAACCAAGACCAATGCAACTCCCTTCAATACAGCAAAATAATCGGMAACGCATACGAATGCGGATGCGATATCTCCGTGGCCAAGCTTCGTCAGGCAGATCTCGCTCCCCTCCAGAAACAACACAATTGCAACCTGTGTGCGGACGGTTCCATGCCACCGGATCCCGATTTCTATCTCGAACTGGGCCAGATGACCTGCGGTGAATACGTGGACTATGCACACTCTCTGAATCCCAGGCAGTGCGAGATCCAGTCGAGGCGGGGGACCTTTGCGTTGTTTGCCTTTCAGTGCATGTGYCCGGGTGCGGAACCACCCGCGTGCGTCAAACAGGAAAACCCGGAACTCTGTACCGTGTCTCTCCTGAATTCGGTGGACCACGACGAAAAATGCGAGTGCTATTCGTTCTGCGACGGGGAGTTCGTTGGATGCGACAAATATCCGGGACATTTCCTTGGTGATAAGTGTTCCGGAACCAAGATATCCGGCTGCAACTACGCAAGTGCCATTGTTGATGTTGCACCCGAACCCAAACCCGAACCCGAACCCATTGACCCAGATCCCAATTCTTGCAGCATCTGTCCCGACTCCTCCAACAACATCGGCAATCCCGAAGCCGTCCTTCCGCCGTTCTCCGGGATCACCATACCGGGCCTTCTGGAAGAACCGACCTGCCGGGATCTGATAGACCACCTCGGCAAAAAGAGCAAGGGGGACACCGAGTGCAAGGTGGCACAATCTCGCCTCTCGCACCTGTGCGGGTGCGACGGGGCGGAACCGAGCTGCACGCTCTGCCCCGGAGGCGTCCCGCCCTCGTTTGCGAGCGCCATGGCGACCGTGGACGAAACGTGCGAGCAGTTCGCGAGCACCGTCCTCACCTGGGARGCCGACACGTGCGAGGGGGGAGAATCGTACCTGTCGGTGATGGCGGCCCGCTGCGGCTGCGTCACGGCGGAGTGGCCGGTGTGCCCGGTTCTGCGGCAGCCGGTCCTGTGCACCGTCAAYCTCYTGCGCTCGACGGACGAGGTCTGCGAGTGCTACAATTTCTGCGGGAGCGAGTTCCACAGCTGCGCCGACTACCCGGGGCGGCTGCTGGACGAGTCGGACTGCCCGGAGGGCGCCGAGGCCATCGCGGGGTGCAACATGGCGCTCGCCACGTCGCAGCGGTGCAGCCGGGGGTCGATCGGGCCACCCTGCGACGGCTACTACGAGGAGGTGGCGCAGACCAAGCTGCGGCACAACCTGCGGCACAACCTGCGGCACTAGGGAGCCCGGAACACCCGCTCTCGGCCAACACAACTACGGGGGGGTGGATGAAACCACGGACGTCGCATCTGGTAATTTTTTCATGGCACCGGAGCGAGTCGATCATCCTTGCATTCATTCATATAATATCTCATAACACCTATCAAACACCTTTAGCGTACATAATTTTTAACAATCACAWGCCAATGATATATCAATGAAGCAGGYGGTACTACTGTTGTATTCAAAAGCTCAATACTAGTCTATTGCCGTCCTACTATTGCACTGTACAGCCCAAGCGTTCTGTGGATCGCACTCCGATCTCTTCGCTRGGCTCTTTCYSTTTCTTCTCCTCGATTTCTAGGCGTCCTTGGGTCCGTGTTCGGCCTTGAAGTGGCGCACCCAGTCGTCGATCTGYTCGTTCAGCGCCTCGTGAAAGCCCCCGCGGTGCACGAACCGATCCACCAGGGGCCGGACCGAGGGGTTGCTGACGCTCTCGATGCCAAAGTCGTGTATCTCGTATCCCTCCCCGAGGGCTATCGTCCCATCGATGTCCGGGATGGAGAGGCTTCCGGCACAGCTCAGCTCGTCGTCGGGCTTGTCCAGCTCCCACTCCAGCTTGCAGCAGAATTCGTAGATGAACCGCGTCTTGCCACGAACGACGGCGACGCTGGCGTGGCCGTCGAGCTTGGCGACCTTCTCGACCCTGGCGACCGCACCGGGGGCCGGAGAGCTGGGCGGCAGCGTGTAGGTGGTTTGTAGAAGAAAGTCGGARAGMGTCTTCTTTGCCCACTCCGTGACGTTTCGTTCTTCCCAGGTGCCTCCCGTGTTCCATACCGATGTGCCCTGTTTGCTGGCATTCGCGGCCGCCGGGGTTGGCGCCGGGTTTTCGATTTTCTTGGGCGCAATGTCCCCGATGAGCTCCCTCGATTTCTCGTCCAGTTCGTTGTGGAAGTAGCTCGTCTTTTTTCCGTTGACGACCTTGTATCCCCGAACGGGTTCCGACTTGGTGAACAGCTTGGAATCGTCGTCGTCGTCGTCACCGGTGGCGTTCGCTGCGCTGCTGCTGCTGCTGCTCTTGGCAGCGGCTGGTTTCGTGGATTTGACCGATTTGGGAGGCGGCGCGGGCATCGACACGGTGGTTTTGGTGGCGTCCTTGCCGGAATCTTTGTCCCCCTCGGTTTCCATCATCAGGGCCTTCTCTTCCTCGACCTGTTTCTTGGTCTTTGCGACGAGTTTCGTGAGCGCCTTGTTRGTCGGGTCCAGCACCTTTGCCCTCGAAAAGGCATCGAGGGCTTCCTCCGGCCGGTGCAGGGCAAGCAAGGCCTGGCCCAGTCTCCACCAGCCCTTGACGTACTTCGGATCGTCCTGGGTCGCGGCTTCGGCGGCCACCCGTGCCTTTTCGAATTCTCCCATGCTGTTCTCCACCAGGCTCAGGTTGGAGTGAAATATCGCCTCTTTGTTCTTGTCCACAAGCGAACAGCCCGTCATGGTCAGGCACTTCTCGTACAGGAGCTTCGCGTCCATCCAGGACTTGGCTCCCACGGCGGCCCGGCCCCGTGACTGGAGCTCCTCCAGGAGGCGGACCTGCCCGGCATCGTCGTCGGGGTTGGCCTCCAAGACGGCACGGTGGGGCGACATCATTGCAAACCCGCTCATAGATGGTACCGACATGGTGGCTGCTTTGGTTTGGGGTTGCGGCTGGGTACGGTGTGGTCGGGGTGCCCTTTGGGACGGGGTCTGTAAAACGAATCGGAAGTAGGAATGGTGCGATTGGAGTTTCGAAGAAAAAAATAGTAACGGGAACAAAGGATGTTGGAAACAAAATCACACACCATTCCGATCGGCCAATCTCTGAAATTCAGGAAACAAGTAGTATTCTGTCCGTCGTACGACTAACAAATATATGCACGGTAGGGCACTCTCGTATGGTCGTTCCTTCGAATGTACGTAACGGCATCTCGTGCTACACTCCTACAGCATTACCGTACTACTACTAGCAGTAGTAGGTTTCATTCCTTACAACCGGTTGTAGTAGTTGTAGCATCAGCAGTATTSTCTGTAGTTATGTGAACAAACTACTACTAGCTACTACTACTAGAAGAAGAAGTAACTGCAACAAGAAATRWTCAGAAAGTTTGTACTCCTTTTTCTTACTATGGCTTGTTGATCCTCCCACCATGTGGGGTGCGGGGCTACAGAATTCAGCGAAGTGTCATGCAACAAGAAGGCAAAGTACATCCCTTTGGTCTTTATCAGSTCGAGWCTCAATCTTCGCTTTTAACTGACAAAATGCCASATTCATGTGCAGGCGAAAAGAGGCGTTTCGGAGCTGAAATGGACCTCAACACAATCAGAAACATCATATTGAATTTCGTTAGGATATGGTGTTATTTGGATTAACATTGCTATCGCTCAGATGTATACAACGTGATTSAATCTATTTAAATTCTCTCGTGTTWACTAGTGGATACATTCAACTAATCTTTGGCTTGATAGTCTTTATCGCAATTTAAGAAACGAGTACCACGCAGTGATCCTTTCCAAACAMCGTGCCAAATGGTTTCGAAGTACTGAATAGTTGCTGATGGTTCTGCWGCTTGATTCAAGCACACCGTGKTAAACATCTCGAGCGTGCTAATCGGCTTTCGCGATTACGAGGGAGGTGCAAGATTGATAATGTCCCCCAGGCTCCTGTCGAATTCTTTCACGTTGAGCTCGTTCTCTTCCTGGACCTTCGCCTTGACCTTGTTCACGGTTTCGTCGTCAAAAAAGCCGAGGAACTCGTCCAGCTTCACCTGTGTGGCYTCGAGGCCCTTTACGACGATCTCTTCCTTGCCCGCCATGGAGTTTTTGCCCACCTTGATGTTTTCGACGTCGCTMGAGTCGAAATACTCCAGGATCGTTTGCAGGTTCTGAACGGCCCCCTGGCCGGCATCGATCGCCCTCATCTGCAGCGCGTTGCCACCGGTGAGGTACCCCGACGCGCCCACCACCGAGTCGGACAACCGGTAGTTTTGCACCATGAACTTGACGGCCAGCTTCACGTTCGCGCGCTGCTGGTCCTTGAATTTTCCGGTGGTGATCAATCGGCGCTCCTGYTGGGTGGCCTCGCGGACCCGCACAATTTTGTACTTCAAACAACAACAAAAACCAAATTGGGAAAACCGGTGAGTCACCCGTTCTTGAACGCTGAAGAAATGYTTTTGTTCCTTGAGCGCATTCTTACCAAATAGGCATCTAATGAATCGTCGGCCGCAACAGCCGGCAGCGGCTTTGTAAAACCGGCCGACGATCCAAACAGGACAGCCGATGCAACTCCGAAATTCCGAAGCGCGGTCCGCCGGGAAAATTCTGCTCCTGCGGATTCAAATGGTTGGATTCTTCGATCCTCTGTAATTCGATCTTCCACTGCAAAGATCTTCTGACTCGTTCGTGTCGAAGCAAGTGCATCCGCTGTTTGACAAAGCCCCGAGAGGCTYAAGACGAGCAGAAACGTCTTCATCAGTTGTTGGACGGCCATTCTCTCTCTGTATCTGTAGTGAACCGGAGATCTTTTTYGGAATTGTTCCTCCCTTCSTGATCAATATCCTTTACTGTGTTGTCGTCGTGTTGATGTGATGGTTACGAGWAACGATTGAAGTCGATCACTCGATCACACAGCAGCTTTCGTACGGTACTACGTACAGTAYGTAGGTGTTCGATGATGTTTTTATCGGTGTTTTTGAAGTTCGAAAAAGTCAACGCTGTTCAAAAGTGCGTGTTCGAAGAACAAGATGACATTTCACCATATGTTATTTTGGTATGATACATATGACTCATATGCATTTATCAAATATTCGCTTAATAGTGGAGTTAATAGTAGTGCTAGTTCTGGTGGTTCTGGGCTGTTGAACAAGGTACGACTACCACTACAAAATCGAAGAAGTCGCACTTCTAGTGAGAGGATTTGTGGAATTGATWGCAGAGCTACTAAACTAGTGGTAGTAGTGGTAGTAAAAAGCCTTTAGAATTACTAATAATGAGGGCATCGCAACAAACCGAAACAATATTTCTGGTTATGGAGTATTAGTATTCACACTATGATTGTGCACAACCACGCTATACTTCCTGAACAAGAAAGCACTTCTATAACTGGATGATATGCATGCATTGAGCATCTAATAAGTCGAATATTATACTTTTTCATCGCTTTTCTTGAGAMATCATTTTGAATTTACTCAGTACGGGCGCACTTGTATTCTTKTAAGGAGACCAGGKWTACCACGAACCGAGGGCCTGTGAGTTGATGCAATTGATGCCGCCYAWATATCCATTATTCCATCTGCAGWTTTTGTGCCTTTAAGATGTTTGTTCGATAGGCTTCGATTGCCTCCGTTTCCACCAGGTAGGTTCCCAAAGGATTGCCGCACCGCGTTCGAATGTCGTCGTTGGTCAGACCGCGGCCGTCGCTGCCGCTACTGTGTTTCGGATGAACATGGGAGTCATGCCAACACGAACAAGCATCGGCCTGACAGTTGATTCCGTTTCGAACACAAAARCAATCCGCGTCCTTGCAGCAAGGTTCTTTTTCGACAGCCTTGTGCAAAATCTTTTCCATTTGTTCCCTAGATGATGAGGCAACTTTTGAATCATAGAGGTTCCTTTTCTTGAGTTCTTGAACGAGCTTGCTAGGTTTCAGACGTCGATGCTGAGCTTTTTTCCCGCCACTTCCGTCTGATGGCGGAAGGTAGACGACTAGTTTGCGACAGTTACATCCCGTGGCACCGGATTTATTGCGTTCGAATCGTATTTGCTCGAGTTCGTTGCGAACATGATGGACCATTGCTTGATTGTATTCCTCATTAAACTTCCCCTTCATGCTGTTCCCCAGGTCGTGGTTGCCTACAGAATTGGAACGTGACCGCCTGTTGTTGTTGCTGTTATGGTTATGATTACCGATCGAATTTGAGCGCGCTCTTCGAACGCTGTTGCTGTTGTTGACATGTTTTTGGATCTCACTACACGTGAACTCACTAGCGTCGAGAAAAATTGCGTGGCGCTCGTCTTCGGAAACAGATCGAAAAATCGGGTTTTTAATCCGTGATTTGTAGTCCCACTGGCGAGTCTCGTACACAACATTGCAATTCTCCTCACTGCAACTTTCGCCGCATGCAGCGCCTGCACCGACCATTTGGATAACTTTCTCATCAAAAGGTGCGACAGGATCGCTTTTCTTCTTCGACGAAGGCGAAGACTTTTTCGACGGAGACTTCGGTGATCCAGGCACTTTCTTGTCTCTCGCAGATAACATGGTAGTCCATCGCTCATGCAATCGTTTTTGTTTGCTCGTTTCATATTCGTCTAGTGGAATTTGGTCAAGGTCTTCGTGACCTTCAAGTTTCATTCCTAACGGCCATCCACCATGCGCTGGTACTGTATCCGTGCTGAAAGCCCTAGGGAATTCTCGTATTGAGACGTCAGAAAAAGACACCCCTTTGAGGGTGTTCGCTTCCTTCTGCTTAGCGGCCTTTTTCTTTTTCTTTCGTTGAAGTCTCTTTTTTTGATTTTTCTTTTGATTCTTAGTTAGCTTTGTACTGCTGCTGTCTTGCTGGTTTTGGTCGTTCTTGCTTTCGTCGACCAATGATAGACTGGAAAAATCATTATTGACCCTTCCATTAATATTGTTCTTCGTATCCAGAACTTGAGGAGGAGCRACCGTATTTATGTTTTCAAATGTCCTGTTGTATTGCTGCTGAAAGTAGCTTTCATCCTCCGATTCGTCCGATGATGAATCCGAATCCAGGACTAAGAGGTATGACTTCGATGGAGGTGGTGGAGGTGGCATAGTTGAAGACTATCATGTCATGGAATTGTAGATAATTCGCATGTCAAAGATATCGTCGGAATCAGCCGGAGTGTGTCCTATGGATTCAGAATTCAGTTTTACTCCGCTGTTTTCCGTACTGATACCAGTTTTTTTTTTCTGATGTCTTTTCGTTTTCGGTTAGAAACCATCTTGTGGCCCAGCTTTTTGGTGACGTGTTGACGGTTTGATCAAGGTCACTTCTACGTTGGGGGGCGTAGTTCTCGTACTGTGCGTAGGGATCTTTTTAACTAAGTACTGTACTGTGGCTGCAGGTGAGTTGCGAAAAACGCTTCACCGCACCACACCAATTGGTACGAAAATCGCATCGTATGTACCGTACCTGGTAAGTACTCTTGTTCGATGGTGCTGTATCAACGAAGGTGGTAAGTATTGTTTGTTAAACACAAGAAATTTTCAAGATTTCAAGATTGAAGCTACTAGTAATTTGAAAATTGAGCATCACAGATTGCATACTACAAGTATCAGTGCAAAAAGGCACTTAGTAGTAGTACTGAACTCGTCCGTGCCAACTTGCATGTACTAGTTTTATCTTTAGGATGATAGTATCACTCTCCGAACACTAACTCTGGTGATTCCTACCRATTGATTGTGCATTTCAGCAGGAATCATTCTCCATTCAGATGGTGATGAGAATAGGCAAATGCTATCAAATGGCAATAATATCATCCTAAATAATTAGGAAGAAGTACTCGCAATGAATAAGGAAAAGAAAAAAGTAAAATTATTCATAAAGAACACAAAAACCCTTATTGGAGGCACTATTTTCTTAACCCATTTCCCCTGACATGTTGCTGCCTTCGAGTATCAGCGTACAAATATTCTTATTCTAACCCCATTCTTGGTCTGCTTCGTCATATTCCATCAAGGCACGTAAGCACTTTCGATTTTCTCTCCAAGAGGTAACAGAGCATCCATCCATGGAAGTGCTCGG